GGAGACAGCCGCATCTTCGCATTTGCCTCCGCTATACGAAGAAGAGACTCCACGTGTCTGCACAGACACCACAAACGCAGCAGCAGCAGCAGCAGCAACAGCAGCAACAGCAGCAAAAAAAGATTTCAGGCCCACCGCAGTAATAATAACAATAAAAATAAAAATAATAAAAAATAATAATAACAATAATAACAATAATAATAAAAATAATAATAAATAATAATAATAATAGTAATAATAATAACAATAACAATAATAAAACAAAAACGAGAAGAGAGACAAATAATGCAGAAGATGGAGACACTCGAAGTAGCTGAAAGGAGACAGTCAGAAAATAAAAAGAAAAACAGATTTTATTAAATTTAAATAATATAATACAAACAATTAACGCAATTATTTTAAAATAAATAAAACAAAACAAACAAACAAACAAACAAACACGCAATAAAATATAATTTAAATATATCTCTATATGCGAAGCGACAATAAAATTAATTAAAAAAGAAAAGAAAAACTAAAAAAAGGAAATAAAATAAAATAAAATAAAAACAAAGACAAACAAAACAAAAACAAAATTAAACAAAATAAAATAAAATAAATAAAATTAAATAAAAACAAAGGCAAACAAACTAAAACAAAATAAAATAAAATAAAATAAAATAAATAATTAAATAAAATAAACAAAGACAAACCTCAAAGTCAGCGGAAGGCCGCCAGAGGTGGAAGCACGTCTTCGCATTTTTGCGTAAAAGTTTGAAAGTTTAGCGCTGACTGATGACAGAGAGGTGTCAAAGGTAGGGTGGCAGTAGGTCCTGAAGAAAATATAATTCAATTGAAAAGGAGACAGTTTAATTTTAAAGGAGACAGTTTAATTTTAAAGGAGACAGCTTCATCTAAAAGGAGACAGTTTAAAAGGAGACAGTTTGATTCAAAAAAGCAAAAGGAGACAGTTTAATTTGAAAGAGAGAGAAGTCAAAGGTAGGGTGGCAGTAAGACCTAAAGAAGATATAATTAAATTTAAAAGGAGACAGATTTAATATAGAAAGGAGACAGTTTAAAAGGAGACAGTTTGATGTAGGAGACAGTTTGATTTAAAAGGAGACAGTTTGATTCAAAAGGAGACAGTTTAATTCAAAATAGAAAGGAAACAGAATTAAAATATAAAGAAGATACTTGAATTTAAAAGAAGTAAATAGAAAGGAGACTGCAGCAGCAGCAGCAGCAGGAACAGCAGCAGCAGCAGGAACAGCAGCAGCAGCAAGGGTATCTGGTGTTTGTATGGGTTTGCATGCACCTGGCGTATAAGATATATTTTTGAAGTAATTCTTGATTAATAGGTTCGTGAGCCTCTGTTGCTTTAATTTTTTCTTCTAGCTGCTGCACTCGCTGCTGCGGCAGCTGCTGCAGCACTCCTACGTTAGGGTGATGCAGCTGATGATTAGTTAAGACATATTCAGCTAAAGAAAAATCTTCATCTGCATCAGGCTGAGAGGCAAAAAGCAAGAAAAACAAATAATATAAATATATAATACTTCTATTGTATAATATTATTAATAATTTACTTTTATAGAAATACAATATATTTAATTATACTCTGATAAATAAATCAATACAAACAAATACTATCAATATAAATAGCTATATTAAAATAAAATGATATGAATAATATATTTAAATATATTATATCTATTTTATTATAATATATTTAAAGACAAGTACAAACAAATAAATAAAATAAATATAATTTGCTTACAATATCTCTTAAAACGCAAACAATGTCAAAACGCGACAAAATCGGGTCGCTTAGATTTACGTTCTCCCGAAAAGTATAAGAAGGTATATACCGACCTAAACAAATACAAAAAAAAATAAAAAGATATACAATAAACTGATGAAATAAATAATATAAACAATTATAATCAGTAAGTATAAGAAGGTATATACCGACCTAAACAAATACAAAAAAAAATATACAATAAACTGATAAAATAAATAATATAAACAATTATAATCAGTAAGTATAAGAAAAGGAGTAGAATACAAACAAACAAACAAACAAATACAAAAATATAAACAAGTGTAAGTAATTAGCAGCAGCAGCAGCATCGTCAGCACCAGCAGCACTCCCAGTAGCATCAACAGCAGCACCCTTAGCAGCAGCAGCAGCAGTATCCTTAGCAGCAGCAGCATCCTCAGCAGCAGCAGGAGTATTTACAGAATTTGGGGTTAGCAGCAGCAATGACAGCACATCTAGCAGCACCCTCAGCAGCAGCAGCAGCAGCAGCAGCAGAAACAGAAGCACCCTCAGCAGGAGGAGGAGTATTATTTACCGAATTTGGGGTTAGCAGCAGCAATGACAGCACATCTAGCAGCAGCAGCAAGAACAGCAGCACTCCCAGTAGCAGCAGCAGCAGCAGCACCCTCAGCAGCAGCAGCACCCTCAGCAGCAGCAGCACCCTCAGCAGCAGCAGCACCCTCAGCAGCAGCAGCAGGAGGAGGA